CGTGCGGCCGGCCTGGCGTAGTTTGATTATGTTTCAGTGGGGGGTTTTTTTACGGGTGTGTTTTTAGAACAGGCCTGTTATTTAATTCGATTTTAAAACAAACTATTTATTTATTATCGTGGTTTTTAGTATCGCCTGTTCACCGCCCTGAGTCCCGCAAGGGAGATAGGGCGGTATATAAATTTAATAAATAAATAAATAAATAAATATTTAAATATAAGCTGCTTAAATTCAAGCATTCAAAAAGCTGGCATGCAGCAATCTCTGCACGATCCCAAAACTAGGTCAGGGAAAAGAAAAGTTAAGATATTGCGCCCAAAGTCTTATAAAACCCGACTTTATGGTTTGTTGAATCCTTATCAGACCATAAACAATTTATAGCATGTAAAAAATATTAAGCTTTAGTTCTCAAGACACCCCATGGTTTTTAGCAAAATAAAAGTAAATAACAAAGAGCAGTGAAATATGAGGAGCACTATACTTATGAGAGTATTAATCAAAATGATTAATTAACACAATTCTTATTAGCTTATGCGCTTGATTGTGTTTATTTCAACAAGGATCTAATGATGCTGGAATACACCACGTCCTCTGAGTGCTGGAAGACTGCATTATTCTTTTCTAGCTTTTGAGATATTACTAATAAAACACTGGGGTATTTCAAGTTGTTCAAAAATGAGAGCTGAAGTTTTCAAGATGTATTTCGTGTATCCTCTAAAGCAATCTATGCAAATGAAAACAGAAAGTATCTAGAATTTCAGAATTACAACAGTCCCATACTATTCATTATATAGAAGGAAGAATATAAAAGTAAAGGCTTCCTCTGTCTGCCTCTAGGGATGGTGCTCATCTCTGTTTCTTAACCAGCAGAGCCAGCGTTGTCCAAAGATATTTCTGTGGTCATGTGGCCAGCAGGACTATATGCCAAGGCACACAGAAAGTTCTTACCTTTCCACCAGTGGTTCCTATTTATCTTGCATGCTTTCTAACTGCAAGGTGGGCAGGAGCTGGGGCAAGGAACGGCATCGCACGAGGGACCCAGGCTGACAACTTTCCAGCTGACAAGCTCAGTGTCTTTAACCACTGTGCCATCGTACCCCTGGACAGTATATGAAACTTTTCAATTATTCTTTTTTTAATAAATAAATTACAGCCAATGACAAAGATACCAAATTGTTACTTGTCAGCTACTTAGATATTATAAATTTTGGTAATCTGTTTTCAACATTCAACAAATGTTCATACTGATTCATAATATATGACCACATATAATAAGAAAGAAAGCAGTTAGTAGCTGAAATATGTGACTTAAAATATGTTGAAACATATTTAATGTATGTTCTGGACCATGTAGTTCTGTATGTTAGAAGGTTGGCATTTATTGGGTTAAGTGCTGTCTCCTTAAGAGATGGCTTATGGGAAATGTAGTTTAGCTAGTCAGCTATCTCATGTTATCAGGTATGTGGGAGGAGTTACTGAGCTCATCACAGGATTTCCTGGACACAAGCCAGTTTGGAATGCTTTTGTCTCAGAAAGCATTGGGGTCACCAGCATGTCTCCGATGACCCCAATTCACGATGTAGAAGTGGTATGGAGGAAGCATTAATTTCTCACCTATGGGAATGAACAGAGATGTATTGTCCAGAAGCAACCAACACAAATGCAAGTATTTCCTCTGAATAAATATATTTCTGTTTTAAAATCATTTCTATTGAGTTTATCTGTCTGACCCAGTTTTACAACGCAATTTAATTCTGGTTGTCAGAACAGTGAGAAATTAATGCTGTCAATATTAAGTTAATGCAAGCAATTTTTTTACAGTACAGTAGCTACTGCTAGCTGGTTCAAGTCTATTTATTACAGACAACAAATAATTTGGCAACAACCCCCCCCCAAAAAAGCCACTTCCCCTTTATTCCTTTATGTTTAATACACAAGGTTGTTTGGTAAATTGTTCTATCTTTCTATAATCTCATCTCTCCTTTACAACCTAATACAAATTTTTTAATAGGTTTGTTGTATTCCTTTCTTAGTTCTCAACAGGGCTACGTTTTCTCTGAATCTATTTCTACCAACACTGGAAGTTTTTAAGAAGAGACTGGACAGCCATTTGTCCGAAATGGTATAGGGTTTCCTGCCTGAGCAGGGGGTTGGACTAGATGACCTCCAAGATACCTTCCAACTTTACTATTATTATTATTATTATTATTATTATTATTATTATTAGTAGTAGTAGTAGTAGTAGTAGTAGTAGTAGTAGTAGTAGTTCAAGAATACAATGCTATGGGCATTTATTCTTTCCAATGATTGGTATGTTGTAGTATGCCAAGCCTTGCCTTTATTCTTTATGGAACTGACGACTGCATTTATATAGGAAATTGGGAAGATGTGTCAATTATATCTTGATGACATTTAATTCTACTTCTTTTCATTATTTTAGGTAAAATTATGTTTAAAAAGTATTGATGAAGGTTTAACACTATGATTAACACTGGAACATGTGGATGGAACTTATTTGCTATGACTTTCTGAGAATTTCTCAAGCACTTTAGCAAATCACAGCCTTAATCTTAAAATAACTATTTGTGTAAGCACCTCCTTACGCTTAATTATCATAGCACTATATTTTTATGGATGTTCATCTCTTTCAATGAATAAATGAATGAATGAATACTAGACAAGCACATAAATTGTATTATATTTACAAGTTGTTAGTGACTACAGTAGTATCTTTATAGTTGCTCAGCTATCTCTTCAGCATAGACATTTGAGAACTAAACATCTACCACAACTCTACGTCCTTCTTCTACATCATAAAATATGTTTTAAGCACTATAAACATTAAATGGATAAATAAGTCATGCTAAGCCATGGTTTAATTATAGCATAAATATGGTTTAAGTTACAGCTTGTATTAAAATGTCAAGTTTATGTATAACCATCTGTCCTTACTGGTGTACTGGTGTAATATGTACTCAATCAACACAATATTAGAAAAAAAAATAAAGCAGCAGAAATTCCATGCCTCATAATTGCCCCAAAACAACGGCTGCTCTAGTTTTTAATAAATAATTCTTAAGAACATTTCTTAGACAAAGTGCTAGAATTTTTACCTCCCACATTAGCCTGCAGTCTGTGTTTTCATCCAGTTCCTGTGGCATTCGCTTTTCTCCTGCAAATGGTCCAAACTTTTCACCCTAGCAACAGTAACAAAATTGGCATCTTTTGCTCATGAAAAGGTACTGTTAATTGCTGAAATCAAACTATATGTTAAAATTTACAATACAAGCAGAAAGAACAAAAATATTTGTATGTCCATTTTCTGCTGCTCAATTATCAGCTATAGAAGTAAGGGTGAATTCATATAATTCATAAAGTCACTTTAATATAATGGTTAAGGTACCAGACTAGAAACCAGAAGATTGGGAGACCTAGTCATACCTTAGATATGAAAGCTGCCTGGGTGACTTTGGGCCAGTCACTCTCTCTCAGCCCACCTCACAGAGTTGTTGTGGGGGCAAAAATAGGAGGAGGAAGGAGTATTATGTATGTATACCAGACAGGATAAAAATCCAACAATCCCAAGTTCTTGGAAAGGACTTAATACGTGGTGGAGAGAAATTCTGAATCTAGTCTAAACATCTAGTTAACTGTGCAACAAACCAACACTGCAGAGAAACATTGCACAAACTGACTACAAACAATGTCATGACAAAGTAACAACAATGGTGCATTGGAAGATCTGCAAAAAATATTATTTGACTGGAAGCAAGGGGTGGGACAATAAAATAAAGAAAGCAATGGAAAATGAAGAAGCTAAAGCAGGGGTGTCAAACTGACAGCCCATGGGCTGGATGCGTCACATGCAGGCCATGCCCCCCCTAGTTCCACAAAGGCAAAAAATGTCATAATACTTCACAATACATCACGTGATGCGATCAATTTTGACACCGTGAGCTAAACTGCTCCGCAACTTTAAAATTCAAACAAAGCACCTGCCACATAATACTCCAAATGTAAAACTATTGATAAGAAAGAAAGATAGTGGATGTGGCAGGCCTTGGAGGCAGCAGGATAGAAGAGAAAGAACTGAAGAAGGTAACAAAATACAAAGACTTACAAATAGAAACAGAATGACTGTGAAAAAAACAAAGCAAAGGTAGTACCAATAGCATTAGGCACCTTGGGTGCAAACAACTAGAGCACCACTTGAACACCATCAGTAATGACAAATTCACTATTAGTCAATTGCAATGAGACCATTGGATCCGCTTTACTTTGAACAGCTTACATCCTGCGACAATATCTGTGACAACATCAAATATCCACATTTGCCTATCCCAGGTCCTTGGATAGGATTTGACAGGCAGACAAAAATGCCATCAATTTGACTGTGCAAATAAGCATAATAAGTAATAATATCAGAAACACAATGCAAGGAAAGAAGGATCTAAAAATCCATAGCAAATGATTTCACCCTCCACAAAACTTCCATTTGAGCTAATATTAAGAGATACGTTGCATAGTATCTGATGCTGTGTTTCAGGTTTGATGAATTTGTTAAATTTTTGTTTGCCCAATCAGGCTTACATCCCAAGCTGGGATGTAACAGAAGCCTAGAGAAGCAGAATTACTAAAGCCTCTGTGTCAATATTGTACATCTCAGTTGGCAAGGACTTTTTAACAATTACTGCATGACTTTAATGATAAAGTGAATAGCCCAGGCTCATACTGGATCGTGATTGATTGCCCCCAGCTGACTCTGGTCTTGGCATATGACAATCTTCCACAGATTCACAGCTTCCAAATATACCAAATGTAACTTCCAAAATTCCCACCTGAAAGCTATGTCATCTAGGAATTCTGGAAATAAAATGCCAAAGCTTCTTGACTGCCAGAACCGCCAATATAGCTAGCTACTGGTGCCATCAATATATAGAATCCTGTATTATTCCGAATAAGCTGCCTAATTAGATTAACCTAAGGGTCCTAACCTAATCGGACTTTTGTAAAAAGGAGGAGGGAGTCAGGAGATGCAGAAACAGTAGTTTTATCTTAAACTGGCATCTATTGTTCTTCATATATGCAAGTGTATGAATAGCTTGATTTTAAGAAACAAGAATTGTGAATTAAAAATTAGTTTGATCAAGGAATGCAAGATAGTGCAGTAAGGGAAACAGGAATCAGAAAGCAAAAGTCTGAATATTTTCTATGAAGTTCATTTGACTCCAAATTTCCATTGGTTCCGAGTACATAGAACAAGGATCACTTTGCAATGAAAATGAACAACTGAAGGTCCCAATTCATCTTTGAAATTTTTTCGGAACATTCCTGCTCCAGGCTAAATCTAAACTCCCTGGAAATTGCTCCAAAGTTATAGAATTACTCTGTTGCTATATTCTGCTATCTTGCTTCTCCCTCTTAACTTTTGGTCCATCAAAAATATTCCTTTAAAAAAAAAAAAGTAGGAACCAAAAGAGGACAGGGAACAGTTCTGTTTCAGTTTCAGAATGCGAAACATCAGCACGTACTGACGAGAGGCAGACGGAAGTGGGATGAGAAATGAGAAAAGGCGAAGGGGTTGGGACTATAAGAATTTAAAGCTGCAAGCAGAAGCAGGGAAGCAGTCTGTAATACGTGGCAGGCATTCCCAGAATACAGGGAACTAACCGGGGCTGGGCGGGGGTGGGGCGCTTGAAAAAGATTTTAAAAACTAAAGGTTGCCCGTTCCCCACCTCGCTAGCCTCGCTTGCGCCTTACCTCCTCTGGCTATCCCTCGCCTTAATGGGGCAATAACAAAGATCACCCACCTTTTTCACTCTCCGGGCCGTAAAGAGCCCCATCCCGTCTTGAATTTTAGATGACTTCAGGGCGAACCTGTCCGGCACGTACATGCCCAGCATTCTGCCCTACCTGAACAGAAGAAGGGAGTGTAACCACCTCCCTCTGTGGGCTAATCGAGAGGCATTGCAGTGGCAAAGGAAAGGGGGATAGAGGAGAACCCATGAAGGAGCTCTAGCTGCTAGAATACCCCCCCCCCGGCTCCAGCTGCCCCCGCCTCCTGGAAAATAAGGGCGGCGCCGTTCTTCTGCCACAGTTCGGGTAAAGCTCCGCTCTGATTGGCCGAAAGTTGGTTGAGATCTAAGGCGGGGGTGGGGGGGACTGAGATTCCATTAAGCAGCAAGGCAGAGGATTCCGGGTCACTAGTGAGAAACCGAGTGGGCGAATTAGGAACGTTTCTTTGTTTCTATCTAGGGCTGTACGGTGCTGGTTAAACATTGCATGACTCCAAGTATAAAGAAAGGATTAATACATTTCTAACTCTATACTTTTAATTCAACTATTGGTTGCCTTTCGCACTGAGGCTGTTATTTAGAGAGCTAGTTCAACTTTTTTGATCCCAGAGGCAGAAGTAAATTTACTAAAATTATGAAATACAAAAGAACCTTATACAGTAAAAAAAAAATCCTAAATATAGTGATTAAATGAACGAAATATGCTTTCCAAACAATCCAGTTAACAAAAGATATTCGGTATAAATGCCTAAATAAATCATTAACTTAATAACCTTTAATACTAAGTCTAGACCAGGGCTTTTCAACCAGTGGTACGGGTACCACCTGTGGTACATTGGCACCTGGAAGGTGGTACGCAACCATCCTAGAAAAGTGGTAGCAGGGGAGGGGAATGAGCTGAACCGGTGGCAGCACCGCACAAGCCTGAGCGAGAGACGGCTGGAGCTGCAGGGCTGTCAGGGCTCAGCGGAAGCACCAGGATCAGTGCCGCTTTCCAGCTGATCGGTGCTTCTTTGGGACTGTCAGGGCTCAGCAGAAGTGCCAGGATCAGTGTCAGGCTCCAGCTGGAGCTGGGCGCTGATCCTGGCACTTCTGCTGAGCCCTGAAGAAGCCCCAATCAGCTGGAATGTTGCCTTATCTCCAGGGTCTTGTGATTTACATTCAGATGGTGGCAACTGATTCATATTTATGACGGTCACAGTGTCCCAGGGTCATGTGAAGTGACCAAAACCTGCTGCAACCACCCAGCAGACGGGGGGGGGGGAAATAAAAACCACACACACACACCCCACCCCCACTGCCAATCCTCAACAGAAATGCTCACAGCAATGGAAACCTCGGACAGGAGGAAGAGGACCGCCAGGTGGGCAGGCAGGTGTCTTGCTCGGCTGTGGCTTGGGGGGCACTTTTTTCAGTGCCATTGTAACTTCGAATAGTCACTAAGCGAACTGTTGTAAGTTGAGGGCTACCTGTACTTCATCACTTTTTTCCTTTTTTTTTTTTTGGTCATCAAGTTTTAGACACCTTGCTAGGCGACTGGTGGTACTTGGATGTTGCCATATCCTAAAAGTGGTACAATGGGTGAAAAGGTTGAAAAGCCCTGGTCTAGACCATATGGTAACATTCTATGGTAACGTTTCATTTTTAGCACATGAAGATTTCCATATTTTACAAATATGATTCAACATCACACTGATCCTAAAATCTAATGTTTCTTCCACAAATTATATTAACATATGTATTCATCTGAATTTTTAAAAAAGCTACAACAGAACAAAATCAAAGCATGTGAGTTTGGTCTTATATTACCAGCATAAGAAAGTGAAGCTAGTTTCATTTTTAAATATCCTTTGAGGAATCTAATAGACCCAAAATAATATCTTCTGAAGATTTCATTTTAAAATCCTGCACATTTTATAATACCTGGTCCCAATGATTTTCCAGAATTGGATATTTCAATTCTTCCTTCCACAGATCAAATATATATTTGATGCTAACCTTCATTTCATCTTTTGATCCTGCACATAATTGAATAGTTGGTTTCCATTCATGCGCAGCATTTCTTAAAGAAGTAACAATTGGAGATATCTCAGGCTGCTAAAACTTATAGGACATAATGTCCTATAATGTTTCGACTGTATATGTTGCAACTTTTTCAATTGTATATTGGAAGTAAGACAATTTGGAAATGCAGTCTCCCAAAAGCTTTAAAACAAAACAATACAATCTCAAGCCTGACATATTTCTTCGTCATATTACCAGCGACCCTAATATACAATATAGACAAAGGATTTCCAAAAAAAGCTTGGACATCTCACAGAAGAGTGTGAATATTCTATCAACTCCCAATTACAGTGCATCCAGAAAAATCAAACATCTAAAAATAGAAGAAGATGCTATTATGGTCTCAATCAATGTCACAGCACTTTTATATCCATAGATCTAGAACTAACAAAAGAATCCATAGCAGCAGTACTATGTAACACAGCCAACATAGACAAATACACTAAATACATTAAAATACCGAGAAATATGGACCTCATCAGGTTCTGCCTCACTGTTTTGATAGACAACCAAGAAACACCAAGAAATCATCACCCATTGGATCACCAATCTCAGGAGTCGTAGCATCTGAAAACTATAGCATTTCCACACATACAATCTGGTATGTAGACAACATTTTTGTCATAATAAAAAGGAACACCTAGAGAAGACAAATGAAACAATGAATAACATCTTCAAAGCAATACATGTCACAAAGAAAGAAGAAAACAACACACTGTCCTCCCTGGATCCTCATTCTAAACAACTCACACTAAGTGCTCCATTACCAAAGCAGCAACCCAACCTCCCACAAGAACAGCTATGTAAGAACATTATTCAGATAAGTAAAAATGTTCTGCAGTCTACCTAAACAGACTGCCCATACATTTTTCAAGAAAAAGGTTGAGTTTTGTTATCTTTCAACCCATTGCCCAAGCCAACCCAAGTGCCTGATCACTGAACCATTACAGCACAACTAATATAAATTATGAAAACAATAACACAATAATATATCAAAAACATCTCAGAAACAACCAACACACTATTACAACTATATGTCATCACTGTAGCACATCCATGAACCACCAAGTAGCAGTCAAAAGGCATAATAAAAAACTCCTTAATTTCACAATACATGACAAACTCATCCATAGTTTCAACTTGGAAAATGTGAACATCCTAAACTATGCTAAATCAAAAAATGCAATGGAATTGCAGAAATTTAGCAAACAGGTAAATCTACAGGTGTTCTCCTTTGAATAATGGAAAACTTCTCTATTGTGTTGTATATAAAAAGAAAAACTTCCGTTTGTGAATTTTTAAACCCTTTACACAAAGACATAGGTGCCATTTTGGAGCCATTCTAAGTGGTCAGGATCCTTCCAGAGGTGCTTTTGTAACTAAAGAAATGTACTATATCTGGCATGCAAACAAAAGAAACATTATCTTCAAGCTTTTGGGGAGTAATATAGTATTAAATATGGCACTTTATCTTACCACACTTAACCAGGCAGTGATCTGTCCATGACTAAGGAAACTTTTATTTTCTCTCCATTTCGTATTACATTCCTAATAAATAAAGGAGCTCAATAGGGGGTACCCTGCTCAACAGTAGTAACTGTGAGAGGGACCTTGGAGTCCTAGTGGACAATCACTTAAATATGAGCCAGCAGTGTGCTGCAGCTGCCAAAAAGGCCAACACAGCGCTAGGCTGCATTAACAGAGGGATAGAATCAAGATCACGTGAAGTGTTAATTCCACTTTACAATGCCTTGGTAAGGCCACACTTGGAATACGGCATCCAGTTTTGGTCACCGCGATGTAAAAAAGATGTTGAGACTCTAGAAAGAGTACAGAGAAGAGGAACAAAGATGATTAGGGGACTGGAGGCTAAAACATATAAGGAACGGCTGCTGAAATTGGGTATGTCTAGTTTAATGAAGAGAAGGACAAAGGGGGACATGATAGCAGTATTCCAATATCTCAGGGGCTGCCCCAAAGAAGAGGGAGTCAAGCTATTTTCCAAGGCGGCTGAAGGCAGGACAAGAAGCAATGGATGGAAACTAATCAAGGAGAGAAGCAACCTAGAACTAAGGAGAAACTTCCTGACAATTAGAACAATTAACCAGTGGAACAACCTGCCTCCAGAAGTGGTGAATGCTCCAACACTGGAAGTTTTTCAGAATAGACTGAATGGCCATTTATCTGAAATGGTATAGGGTTTCCTGCCTGAGCAGGGGGTTGGACCAGATGACCTCCAAGGTCCCTTCCAACTTTATTATTATTATTATTATTATTATTATTATTATTATTATTATTATTATTATTATTATTATTATTATTATTATTATTATCATCATCATCTATACAGTTGTATGCATGTGTGGGTGTATATGTGTATGTATCACACACAGTTGACTAATTATTCTTTGGTTGTTAAGATATTTTTTATCATTTCAATTTTTATATTATTTTAGAATTCAATAACTTCTAATAATGTGGAAAATCTTTCTGCCCAATATTTACTTCTATATAGTAACAGACAAAGTGCACCCAGTTGGAACATTTCATTTTAAATAACATTATATTTAGTACCATTCTGAACACAAAGCTTTAAATAACTTTTGATTATTTTGCTAATATTATGTATTATACATTAGTGTGTTTCTGAAAGACAGGAGGACCTGAAAGTGAACTCTCCTTTATTAAACAGATCCATTTAAGTGGGAATTCAATCCACAATACGATGGATTTAGACTCCATATCAGAGTGCAGATTGGAGCTAGCCAAAATGCTTTTTTTTCCTCCATGGAGAGGAGGATTATAATGCTGAAAGAAAAATCTGATTATAATGCTGAAAGAAAAAACATGCATTTGCAAATGTTAAAAAGCTGGGGGAGGAGAAGTGACAATAACAAGCAAATGAGAATTTGACAAACCAACCAGTATTTAAACTTCTATATTTAAATCTGTATACTTACTGCTTATAATTTTAATTACTAGCTGCAGTGAATTTGTCCTTTCAGGTTATTCTGTGTTTAAAAAGGCCCTTGTTAATATTGCTCCCTTTCTGGAAAGCCAAAGATATAATTATGTTATTCTTTGCATTGTCATTTTGAGAAAGCACTGCTTAAGTTAGGACATTAGTAACTGGGATCCTTGAGAGTTCTCAAGTCAAAGGCAAAAACA